CACTGAAAAATTGTCAACTAAAAGCAAAAAAAAAAAAAGGAAAAAAGTGAAGCGCTTACACAATGTTTTAATGATCAGAAATAGACAAAACAGAGAAGAATGGAGAAGTTGCTAGTTGCTGCTGTACTAATATGATAAGAAGAAATGCAACGATGAAACAACAACCAAAAGAGTATCTGTGGGGACCCTCCATCTCTATCACCTTTTTTTTAGAAAATTCCGAAATTTTAGTTTGCAATCTCAGAACTCTTTAAATGTCTGCACCGAACATGGCCTTCCCCCCGTCCCTAGCATCTTCTTTTTCGGAAATTTCGAAATTTCAACTCTAAATCCCAGAACTCTTTAAGTATCTGCGCCGAACATTGCCTTGCCCCCTGCCTCTACCATTTTTTTTTTTGGAAAATTCCGACATTTTAGTTCGAAATTCTGCAACTCTTTGAATATCTGCGCCGAAGATGGCTTTTTTCCTGTCGCTACCACCATTTTTTTTAAAAAATTTCAAAATTTTAGCTCTAAATTCCGGAACTCTTTAAGCATCTGCGCCGAACATGGCCTTTTTCCTGTCGCTACCACCTTTTTGTTTTAGAAAATTTGGACATTTTAGATCAAAATTTCGGAAATTTTTTAGCCAAAAAATGCTCTGATGAAAAAAAAAAGACCCCGGCTTACTTTGCCTTCTCCGAAGAGAAGTTTATTGCGGATTGATGAAATCTCCATGGATTCGGCCGCCGCTGCTTCTGCTGCTGCTGCTGCTAGCACTGTTCTGCTCAGGTCAGTGCCGTTCTCTTCGGTCAAACCATTGGCCAGCATATTCCCGATGAGATTTGTCGTTTTTTATTTCTCGTGTTACTCACACTCCTCTCCAGATCTCACGGTCGTGCGTGTTCTTTTGTCGCTGCTGCTGCTGCTGCTGCTCCTGCTCCGATTGAATTTCTCCTTTTTTTTCCACGCAATACCCTCTCTCGCTCAGCTCGGTCAATATCTACTAATTCATTTTACAGCTCAGGGATGAGAAACACCACACAAAAATGTAACATACGCGTAAGTTCCGAGGCAACGCATAACATAGAAACAAACAAAAAAAGCCCCCCCC